TCGCCAGTCGGCATTGGCCAGTGGATGGAATTCGGAGGAGGCCTAATCTGTGGGATCTAATCGGTCTGTTAGAGGTAATTAAATGGATGTGCTGCACTGCAGAAGTCTGCTAACATAGAAACATAGATAAGGAGTCAAATTTGCTAATTTTAAAATAAAATTTAAAGAAATGGTAATGGTCAGTTATAGGTTTCATGGACTATTATTCTGCGCAAATATTAGTCAAACAGCAAGAGGATATATGTCCACCAGATATTATGCATAGTAAGATGAAGAGGTAAGATTAAAGCTTAAGAGTGCTAAAAAATATAGTCAGGGAGCATTTATTTATTTGAATGGATAGAGGAATAGCCTCCTAGGATTGACATGCTAATAATTATGTCAAAATTGTATGTATTGTCTTGAGAAATCCTGGATAACATGTAAAGTGCCAGATAAGTGAAAGAGAGCAGATGTTGCTCCTATTTTAAAAAATGGGGAGAAACATTCTGAGGCACTATACCATGTTATCTGACAACTCTGTCTTGCAGATTCTATAACAAATGTTTAAGCATCTTAAAAACAATATGGTGATTCCAATAAAGGAGAATATTTGTAGCTCAGGGTTGAACTAAGGGGTTCTTGGTGCTCTCTGAGTCAGAGATCCCTCAATATGGCAATTTCCAAAGTCTGAAGAACAAATTCTAGCAGTGTAAACTTACCTCCTTTGTTTCATTGGATAACTTTGTGGGAATGTTACAGATGTGAAATATCTTGATTGTAGAAAAACATTTAACATAATATCCCCTGTCATTTTGATTAGCAAGCCAGGTAATAGTGTGCTGAGTGGTATGACAACTGTAGATACATAATTTATTAAGTTAGATGTCATAGTCTGGTTCAACTCCAAGTGATTCTGAAGACCATTGCTCTCTAGTCATCTTAACTAGTTTTTTTAAAGTACCGGTACTTTTCCCAAGGACGTTTCAGTAATCTCTTCAATCCTATGAAGAATATCTATGAAGATTCTCAGTCATCCAGGTCATGGTTGTCCTGAGCTGAAGAAGCTTCTTGGATGAGAAGTGAAACATCTTCAAAGAAAAACTATAAATTCCAGTTGCCTCTTGAAAAAGCACCTTTGGAATCCAATGAAGACTTCTTCCATCAGCATTGCCAAGCATAATCGTTTTTTCAACTCATCATCTGCTCATATCACCAGCCCATAGTATGTGAATTTCTCCTTGCAGATATTTATTGAACAATCAATCAATTCTGAAAAAAACAGCACTAAAGTAACCGATTCCAAATCAGCTACAAATTATGGATCATTCAAAATATGTTACTTTTATAGCTCCTCCCACTTATCCTGCAGTGATGACACTTCTTCATACATCTTACGTGACAGGCCAAAAGTTATTGCAAACCCAATGCTGGAGAAGAAAGTTCAGATTGGGATGATCTTGCTAGGGGAGAAATCTTGCTTT